CGTTCTTTCTGCAACTTCCGACCCCTTACCTTGCTGGCAGACTGGACAACGAAGGTCTTGGAAGGTAACTTTTTCCAGAAAAGACCAGATTCGTCCATGTTAAACACCTGGTCGTCACTGTATTATCCTTCCTCCATAATCTCACGTAAAAACGGAGGAAAATCTCTAGCCGCCACACGGTCAGCACTCGCTTCCTCACCACCAATGTTGATGTTGGTGATCTTGTTCCTCTTCTTAAACCTATGCAGCCAACCAGAGGAAGCATTGAAGGGTTTGGGCTCTGCAATTCCCAGTTTACGTGACACTGCTGCGTATAGCTCACGTGCGTACTCCTGCACTGAGCGCGTGTCCACCGCCATGTTGCGTCGCGCCTGACGCACCAAATAACTCACCAGCAAAGTTTCCACTTTTGCCAGCACCCTGTTCTGGCAATACCTGATAGATGAAGCACCTGCAGACTGTGATTTTCATGTGGTCTTTGATCTTGGCTGCATCCTTCTTGATCGTACGAATCGTAGATTCGTTGACGCCATGCTGGCGCGCGAGATCAACTTGCCGTCTTCCTTTCTCCAAATCTTGAACAATTTGGTACTTCACCTCGTAGCTTAATGAACGTCGTGTCTTCTTTGGCTTAGTGCCGCTGGGTCCAGGTAAGGAAAGGTCTCTCTCTGGGGGCGATGGTGGTCCGGCGGAAGCCATTTTACGGAACAATGGATGCGCGTTAACACGGTGTGGCCTTGAGGGATCAAACTGCCGCAGCTAGGTCAAGCATCGTCTCTCCTCCCTCCCTCCCCGGGGTGGTCACGTCATAATACTTTAAGCCAATTACAGCTAGCAGCAGAGGGGGGTAGGGATGCATGGCCAATCACAGTCCGATACGTCATATGACGTCAGTGATAACGCAACAAAGACACACACTGCGCAACCTTACCGCGCGGCTTGCCCAAGCGGAGGGAGGAGGAGGGAGAGGCGAGGAGCACAGGCAGGCAGGCAGGCGGGTGGCGCGTGGGCAAAATCTAAAAATAGCATCTCGAGCCGGACACTCACCGCGTATATGTGGAAAAAATCCGTGTTAAGTGAAAGTTCAGCTCTGGCAAGGCACCGCGTATATGCGAAAACGCGCTAAGTGAAACCGCGTTAGGCGGGGTAATACTGTAATTGTTTGACCTACATTGGAATTACTTGGGAATTGAAGGTGTTTTATTTTGCAGGGGATGCTTCCTTACTTCATCATTGATGGCTACTTTATCTTTGAGCTTAACTATTCCCTTGACAATGTTTGTGGACATCTGGCTCAAGGGCATCAAGTATTCACTGCTAATTTATATTGGTGCAATTCCCATGATGACATCTTTTATTGCTGTCTCACTTCTCACACATTATGAAAGCTGGGACCCATTGATGGATGGAATGAAATATCTTCATAGAAAGTGTTGGAGAAGAAACCACATGTACAGGTAAATTTAACTTTATATAATTTTCTTTGTAGTTGAAGCTGATGGTATACAATATTAAAGAAATATAAATTTTGAATTACAGTATAGATAATAGATGTACACTTAAGTTATATTTTTTCTCCAGATCTTAAAGAAAATATGATAAGTTTTTGTCTCGTAAATGTTATATTGCTTTTAATTTCTGCATATTGGCATCCATCCAAGTGTTTGCCTTGGATGAATCTGTATACTGTACAGGGGCCCCTGAATAATGAACGGGTTACATTTCAGGACCTGTTCATAAGTTGATTTATTCATAACTCAGAACCTTGTTAATAACGCAAAATAAAATATGAATAAAACACCCATCCTTATCTGTCAAATCATAAAATTTATAATGCCATAAGTAACAAATAATGTATGGAGGTGTGCTGCTGAACAAAGTAGTTTTACCTTGGGAAGTACAGTACCAGTGATTTTATTATGAGTAGTATTAGGATCACAATAATTCCATGCTTGTTGTTTGACATCATAAGATGGGTGTACAGTAGGGAGATGGTGATGGTTAGTTGTTGATCGGTGGTAAAGAGAATACGACATGCACGATTCTCAATAAATCATTTCTTACCATATTTTATGTTATGTACAGTACAGTACTCTTGTGAATGCAGTACTCTACTGCTGTGACGCCATCGTGGATGAAAATAGGCATACGTACTATAGTTAAAAAAGTCAATCTTTGCGATGTTCAGACCCTAGCCCTCTTTCCCATAAGAAGTTCAGTAAAGAATGATTCACAACTAATTGAGGTTTCAGGAACCTAATATCATTCTTTATCGAGGGTCCAGTAATGTATATTGACACCAGTGTAATTCATAAGTTGCTTGGCTATCTAAATACGTATCGTCAATTTATTGTCAAACGACATTTCTAATAGTATTACTCGTAACAGAATATGTACCATTGTTGCCACATGGTACAGTATCTGAATTTTAAATAGTTTTATAGTGGTTTGATAACAAAGGTTTAAAGTACATTATATAAAGGATCAACAAACCATCCTTCTCCCTTATCTCAGTATGTTTATCGCTTCTCTGTGCTTGTTTGAGAAGAAAAGAAATCATTACAATACTCTAATGTGGCTTAGAAATAAAGAAATTATAAAACTAAAAAAAAAAAAAATTAAGAGCATGTGTGTGTATGTGTGGGAAGTGAACATATGTATTAAGGCATTGGGTCAGCTGGGTGACTGCCCGGCTGTACTGTGTCACGTGCATACTGTACCAGGAATACCCCAGTTATCGCAAGGGAGGCATTCCTAAAAGTCATTGAAAATAACGAAATTGTGAATATTGGGGCAATTTTCCCCCATAAGAATTAATTTGAATAAGGGGAGATGCTTTCTCAGCCAGCAACTTTCACCACATATATTTCAATAGATACTCCTCATTATCCAAGGCAATTACGGACCTTAGGCACCAGGGTTGCATCATTTGTGCATATACTGTAATACCAGTAAATGTTAGGAATAAATAAAAATTATACTACTTACCTGCATGGGCCTACATCTAGCAGGAACTTTCTGTCCAGGTTTCATGAGTATAATATCCCCACGCACCAGGAGAGACCAAGGGAGGTTGACTGTGTTACCATCGCGACGAGTCCACTGGAGGGTGATGCAGGGGGAGAGGGGGGAGTGGAGGTGAGGATAGTTCTCGGCAGACCACAACACATTGCCGTGGTATTCTGAAAAAAAAAAATGGCACGCATGACACCAACGGAAACAAGCAAGAGTAAGTGACAAAGAAACCTCAAATACTGTAGTTAGGAGAGAACAGTGGTGGGTAGTGGTGTAATGATAAGTGTAGAAAGTTGCAGGAGAGTAGTGTCAAGGTCCTAGTATGAAACAACACACACACTGACGGTACTTTTGTGGGTAACTAAATAAAGAACAGTTTTAAAATTCACAGACAATGTTCGGATATTAATAAAAAAACGTTACCGTAAGTCACAATGCTTTACCTTTAAGATCCTTTAAGACGTTGTGTGTGAGTCTTGGGACCTCTTTGTGCCTCAGCTGAGTGTCCCACCACACCAAGTACACGTTAAGAATTACTGCTAAGAAAATGAAGAAGGACTCGGCAGGAAGATGCTGGTACCTGATAATAATAATAAACATATTACATCATCTGTAAATCTAAACAGAACAAAATTCATCTTAAATTCTCTAATGGAAAAATTATTAAGGACATCAGAGTAGTTATCCTATCTGTCAACAAATGGTTGCTTTACTGCTACTGTATGTTTGCTTGTATTTACACTCATACCAAATCATAAGGTCATATATTTTTACCTATGTATGGAGAATATTACACCAGTCCACATTCTCAGGTCAATATATAGCACAGAAAGAATCAAAGGTAACTTCATATGCCTGTTGTATTTTATGGACCCATACTGTACACACCTGGGGTCATTACATGCAGCGAAGGCCACCAGCAGCACGATGCCTTCAACGATCAACGCTATCACTGATGTCCAATGAAACACAGAGAGACTACTCTTGTGGTGGAAGGCTTCATACAGAACACTCTTTGGTCCAAAACCTTTGTTCCTGAAATATAAAACATAATACAGTATCACCAAACATATGAGGTGTTTACAATAGCAAGGGCACATCACTGGGTTGCTCAATTTCCCATTTTCTGTGTCAGTCCATAGCATCATTGTCAGGCAATGTGGATACACCTCCAGCGTGGTACAATCCCATAAGAAACCAAGGGCAGAAAACATGCAGTACAGCCCGAATAATTGAACCGAGTTGAGATATTCGCACATACGCCCTGGTTAGTCTATACGCCTCATTTACAAGAAAGTATAGACTCCAATATGCCCCACAGGTTAATACTGTATTTCAAAATTAATTAATAATCTTTTTTACACTTACTTTTCAGCTTCTGTCTTCTGATATTCATCCAAAGCGATGGAGATGTCCTCATGCAAGAGACTGAGGGCCTCACTTGTGGGTAAGCCATCAGCACTGCAGGCCATTTCCTTCAAAACAAAAGGAAATATTCTACAACAACAACAACATTAAGCAACAAGTTTATAATCATTTTACCAAACCTGACATATAACACACAGGAATGAATGCTACTATCTGCCAGTATAACATCTCCCACCTCCTTTCTTTGTATTTCACTTGAATCAGTTCGTACACAACACAGACGATATATATAACAGTAGAAGAGCTGACGGAACGCTAAGTCATGAGGCCATCACCAGACTGTAATTCTTCTGCCAGATGTCTGCGAGGGATATTTTGCTGATTTTTTTTTAATACGGTACGACAGATGATATATCCAGGGTGAATAGACCACAGGTTCAAACTGACTGCCTTGGTGTATTAATCAATCAAGCCATGTGCGCTGATTAAGCAGATTGAGTATTGCTTTTGAAGACATATTCTGGACTTAGCTTCCTTGTCACACTGCCATCACCAAGTAACTGAACATTGCAGCGAGGATGACAATGAACAGAATGATCTATGTAAAAAAAATATATATATATCCACTAAAACTGCTTAAGAAATAGTCCTTTATTCTTGTACAGTATCCAACATTTCAAGTGTTACTCGACTGTATTAGTAATTCAGACTTTTTCGACATTTAATCGGTCATCTGAAGCTACCCAGAGTAACATTCAATTATAAATATAACTAAAAATAACAAAGTAAACACAAGCAACAAATAAATAAATTACACAGCTAAAAATTAATTTGGGTAAAAAAAATTCAAATAAAAATGACATTCAAGAGACTGATTATAGAGATAAATTATAAAAGAAAATAATATAAATAATCCACTAACACTATATTTTCATTGTTAAGAACCTAACCTAACCAAAAATGACCACAAGATTATTAGGTTAGATTTGGTTTTATTTGGGTTAGGTTAAAATATATTAAAATTGGTTAGGTTGGTTAGAATTACCTTTGGCTAGGTTAGTTTGGGTAATTTTAATATTTTAGGGGACAGGACAGGTCAAATAAGGCTAAACTATATCAAGAACTGGTCAAATAAGGTCAAATTATAAAAAAAACAGGTGAAATAAGGTCAAACTATATAAAACAGGTCAAATAAGGTCAAAATATGTCAAAAATAGGTTAAATAAGATCAAACTATATCAAGAACAGGTCAAATAACACAAACCCAGAAAGAACTTGACCTTAATATACACGTAAACAACATAACACTAACCCATTATACATAACTCATCTCCCTCGCTAAATAATACCCCCAAAACACACTCTTTCACATCATATACTTATTTAATCCCTCAATATACAAATAAATAATTATGTATTCACTCAAAAAGGTCAATTATTATACAAGCACAACAAGTCACCATTCGTATCTCATCTACAACTACGTAACTTTATTCTAGTTTTAAAATTAATTCAGGTTTAATTAGTGGTTTTAATATACGTTTTAGGACCTTACCTGATTGTTTATCACATGGTAAGGGGAGAGATAAAACTTGAATGGGAAATTTGGTCTGAGTTGTGAGGAGTGATCAGCTGTCCTCCTAAACACCACAAACAACCTAAAGAAACTAATTTAATGGTGATAACTTTTTTTTTCATTATTCATGTATCTAACGCACAGTTCTCTTATTTAAATGTATAATTTTATATATATTTAATGGTTTTATTAAACTATTGAAGATATATAAAGGTTGAAATTGTATTTAATAGTTACGTAAACTACAGTATGTTGGTGATTTAAATTCTTTTTCGTATTTCAGAAAAGATAAATAATACTGCTAGATATATAAACAGGTCTAATAAAATATATATAATTGAGATAAATATTCTTTATGTAACATTAAGATCTTAGGGTAATTTCAGTTTGGCATAATTGGCTTTATTTATGTCTCTCTGTACAGTAATGAATGAGGGACATTTATTCTCGCTAGAAGTGAAAGTAAGAACACCGTGTTCCCTTTCTCCCTTATTTTCTATTATTAAAAAAAATATTATGGAACTATAATATTTTATGTTAATATTCATCCATTGGCTGTCCGCAAGATTTCAATTTTCAATATTACAGCTACAAAAAAAAATAAAACATACGACTTCATATCATTTCTTGTGCAAATCAATATTAACGGAACATTTCACAAAATTTCTAGGAGTAAATTTCTGTACCCGCCATGTTGCCAGTCACTTGTCTCCTCCTCTTCGCGACATGACATGACATGACCTTCAGGTATCATAGCATTTGAATTGGCTGGCCAATCATATTGAAGCAGCAGAGTTGTCACATGTATGATAATTATCATACATGTATGATAACCACAAGGAAAGAAGAAAACACGAAGTTCCCAAGCGCTTTCGTGTAATTCACATCTTCAATTACACGAAAGCGCTTGGGAACTTCGTGTTTTCTTCTTTCCTTGTGGTTATCAGCATATAACTAGATCATGCGCACCTACAGTGATTTACGTGCATGTATGAGAGCTGTGCAACGAGCTTGCAGAGCCCCTGAAGCTCCTGTTTTGTAAATGCCTGGATGAACAAATGGTCCCCAGTGAATGGAAAGTGGCTTATGTGAGTCCTATCTTCAAGAAGGGCGATAGTCACTCCACGAACAACTATAGACCGGTGAGCCTGACCAGCATAATATGTAAAGTACTTGAGAGTATTATCAGAGATGCAGCGATGGAACATCTACTACGAAACAACCTTGTAAAAGATTGCCAACACGGTTTTATGCCGGGGCGCTCTTGCTTGACACAATTGCTCAAGGTATTGGATATTTGGACCCATATTCTAGAACGGGGTGGTAATATCGACAATATTTACCTAGATTTTGCCAAGGCTTTCGACAGTGTACCCCACGAAAGGCTGAAAATCAAACTGGAAGGGTACGGAATTCGGGGAAATGTTCTAGCGTGGATAGAAGACTTTCTACATGACCGCAAGCAGTGTGTGGTGATTAATGGCACGAAATCGTCATCTGCACCTGTAACAAGTGGGGTACCACAGGGCAGTGTATTGGGCCCGCTGTTGTTTGTTTGTTTCATAAATGACATGCCTGACGTTGTACACTCCTCCATACAAATGTTTGCCGATGATGGCAAGTTATTTCGGGAAATTAAGAACCAAGCGGACTGTGAAGAGTTGCAGAAGGACCTCTGTGGGCTCCAGGAATGGTCGAAGAAATGGCTGCTGAGATTCAATGTCACGAAGTGTAAGAGGATGCACCTGGGGCGTACCAACGGTAAGGAGGCGTATCATATGTCCCAACGGGATGAAGAAAATGCAGTAATTGAGACTGTATGTGAGAAGGACCTAGGTGTGTATGTTGACAATGAGCTGAAGTTCTCGGGCCATTGTAAGAAGAAGGTAAATCAGGCAAATAAATTATTGGGTCTTATAAGAAGGTCGTTCAGATATCTAGACGGTCCGTCCCTCGTGACGATCTTCAGGAGTGAAGTGCTTCCCCATCTGGAGTACTGTCACCTCATCTGGTCCCCGAGATATGCTAGGGATTGTCAGTTGGTTGAAAATGTTCAAAGGAGGGCCACCAGACTGGTGCCTGCACTTCGGCACCTCAGCTACCCTGAGAGATTGGAGCGCCTGAACTTGCCTAGCTTATACTACAGACGGGCAAGGGGGGACCTAGTTGAGGCGTATAAGCATCTCAGGGGGGCACTACTCAGTTGAGTGTCCTTACTTGGAGCTGGCGGGCGCTCGCCCCACAAGGGGTCACAGCTCAAGATTGAAGAAGCCTCAAGTCCAGAAAACCGTGAGGGCAAACTTTTCGGAGTGAGGGTTGTAAACTCTTGGAACAATCTACCAGAGAGTGTTGTGACGGCACCGAGTGTGAGCTCTTTCAAGAGAAGACTTGACCAACACTGGAGCGGGTTCAGGTACATTCAGGAGCCGGTGCATGCCCAGCATTTGCCAACAGTGCGTGACAGAGACGTGACCGATCGCCCGGGCGGCTAGCGAGCCGATCTTTTGGTGAAGAATATAAATGAAAAGAGACGTGACCAATCGCCCAAGCGGCTAACAAGCCGATCAGTGGCGAAGAGGATAAAAGTAAAAAAAAGTAAAAGATAAATTCATCTTCGTCACGATGTACGATAACATTTTCTATTATCGTACGGTTTGTACGATAATTTTGGGTTGAATGTGAAAGAGTATTCAGCAAAATTATTCTCTTCAAAACCAAAGAAAGAAATAGTTTAAAAACTTAAACTGTAAATGGAGCTCTTTTCTCATCTGAGTGCCTCAAACGTTCAGGGTCATGAGTCAAATTTTTGCCCTCTGAAGATATTTTTTTAAGATATGCTTGCAGGTATATCTAATCACGCACAATTTTTTCACAACTTGACAGATGAGGTTCTTGAAGTAGAGGGCTAATGGTGATCACTGAAAATATATGTTTTAGTGTGGTCTTACTGAGTTATTAATCTTAAAGAGTTGGCACATTTAAGAATGATTTGAGTTTTATGTAAGTTACTGCTTACTCTTATAGAATGGCATTTACTGTATTCTTTTTTCCTGTAAATAAATTTTGTTTCTTTAATTACAGTGCAATCTTATATGATTTTCATTGCATGCCCTAGTTTTGACTCTGCAAAATAAAATTGGTAAATATATACCTGATTATGTACTGTGCACATCATTGTCATTCCTAAAAACCCCATTTAATTCACATTACGCTATATAACATTCAAATCCACCGCGCTTGTAGAACCTCAGAAAACGGGAAACATTGATAAAGGATAACTCGCCTACTCAATGTTACTAGACCATGTGTTGTATTGTACCCAGGTATAGTTATATCATATTAATTGTATGTATTCATAGCATTAAGGAGAACTCAGGGTATCCATAAGATGAATGTTAAAGTCCAGTTGAGCCGGACTAGTGTACTGTAGGACTAAGGGCCGTATTCCTAGTCATTACGACGATAATGACGATCACGATCATCATCTCGATGATCGTGTGTCGGGATGCAACCACCCAACGCTGAGTGCCATATTCCTAGGCCCTTACATGAGCGTGTAAACACGGCAGCTCGTGTCGGATAGCAAAATTTTTTTTGGCCATGCGCGTGTGCCAAATGTATTATTTCACATAATTAGAAAGACGATTTTGAGAGATATTTAGTTGTTATTTTATACCGGCACAATAATATATTGTAAAATATATTTTTTTATAAAATTGAACTTTATTATCTGTTCGAAACAAAATAGATAATTTTTTCATCTGAGTACTTGGCAACAATGTTTTACTTCACACTACAACTAATTCTATCCATTCTTACGCTGATGATTCTACTCTTCACTCTTCCTCACATTTTCCCCTTCCTCCTAACTCTCAAACTAGATCTGTTTCTAGAACTGATATCATTACTTCTATCAACGCGGATCTGTGCAGCATCTCTGAATGGGGAGATACAAACTTGGATAAGTTCAATAGTAACAAAACTCAATATTTACCAATTACACTTTGTAAAGTAGACGATCTCCCACCAATTACATTTCAGGACGCTATCATCCCCCCAAATTCTGAAATAAATATGTTAGGCCTCACCATTTCCTCCAATATGTCCTGGAAATCACACATCCTTAGTATAACTAAAGCTGCCTCCCGAAAGTTGGGAATGCTGTACAGATGCCGCAGCTACTTCACTCCTGAGCAGTTGCTCCAAGTATATAAGGGATTCATTCGTCCTAACTTGGAGTACTGCTCTCATATCTGGGGTGGCTCTTCTTCTGTCCAACTATTAGATAGGGTGGAGTCAAAGGCATTTCGTCTTATTAACTCTCCTCCTTTAGTCGACAACCTCTCTCCCCTTTCTCTTCGCCGCAATGTTGCTTCACTCTCTCTCTTTTACAGGTACTTTAACGGGCAATGTTCAGGGGATTTGGCATCCTGTGTACCGCCGGTAAGGCCGTGGGTTCGTAACACACGTCTTGCCCGCGGTGCCCACCATTTCTCTGTGGATATCGGTCACACGAGAATAACCCGTTATAGTACCTCCTTCTTTCCTCACACAGCCAAACTGTGGAATGCTTTGCTTTCTTCTGTGTTCCATGCTCTTACAATCTGTCTCACTTTAAAAAGCTGGTTTTCCGGCATCTTCGTGGTGTAGATTAATACAGTATAACCTTTTTTTCTATATTTTCAATTTCTTTCCGTTCTTTTTTTTCGCCCCCCAGGCTCCGTTGTGGGTCGTTTGACCTGTGCCCGGGTGGGCTAATTCCCGTAAAAAAAAAAAAAAGTCGGGTTAGGTTAGGTCGAATGAGTAGGCCGAGTTAGGTAGGTCAAATGAGTAGGTTTGGTTAGCTTAGGTCGAATGAGTAGGTTGGGTTAGGTAGGTCGAATAAACAGGTCTAATACAATTTTTAGTCAAACAATCCGCTACAGTAAACAGATCGAACTTTCCAACATTTATTTTCCACCTTACAAACCTTCACAAAATCGCCTAACCTGACCTGACCTGA